CTTTGCAGCTCTGTTTCCTCATGTATAAATGGGGCTAAGAATCCCGGGATCTCAGAAGGTTGTGGAAATGGGCTGAGGTGGTGTGCACACCAGGACAGTGCCCCACAGGCGAATGCAATACAAGTGTGATCATAGCCGTTTATATCCTGACTGCCTCCTGGAGAAGGTCCTGGGGTGGAAAGAACCGGTCAGGCGGTGGCTGCTGCTGCAGAGTCCAACAAGGGACACAGGGACACAGATGGAACCAGCCAGCAATGCCTCCCTGGTGGCCGAAGAGGCAGTTTGTCCCCTGGGGTGGGTCAGGGAAGGCTTGACAGTGGTGCTAGGTCCTGACGTGTCTGGCAGTGACACACGGGCAGATATGCAGGCTGGGAGCAGCACTCAGGGGTAGGAACTGTGGGTGTTGAGGGCCCAGGGAGGACAGCACAGGGTGTTTAGGGAGGGGAGGGTCCTTCGGATGGGGAGGTCAAGGGTGCTGCTTGGGGGAGAGGAAGGAGGTGGGAAGGAGGGACTAGGAGCCTGCAGGAGGCTGAGGACTTTCTGCATGGAATGTGAATGCAAGGCCTCTCTGTCCAGGTGGAGATCCTGTGTGAACGCCACTGCTACAGGGTGGTCGTGAATGGCGAACACCTGCTGACATATGCTCACCGCCTGAAGGACCTGCCAGCCATCGGTCACTTACAAATAGAGGGTGACATTATCCTTACAGATGTGCAGTGTTAGTTGGCCTCAAGAGCCCAGTGAAGGACTGGGGACATTACTGTCTGGGTCTCCACCCTGTCCTCTGCTTTTTTCTCCCCACCTTCTGAGCACTGCCACCCTAGCAGATGGTGCCTCAGGATTTGCCACTGAGGGAGCCTCCAGGTCCATTCCTCCAGGAAGTGAGGGAGGACTGAGCCTTCATCCCAGAACCATACTGCATAAGGCTCCCAAACACCTGCTTGTCCTCCGTGCAACCCGTGCTAGTCCCAAGCCACAGCTATGCAATGGAGGGCCCAGGTGCCCGCCACAGCCCCCATTCCTGGGACCTTCACCTTCTCTCCCTGCTTGGCACCCTGTTACAACACTGGTCCCTGTGGGGAGGCGACCTGGTGACATCCCGCTGGCTTCCACCCACTGAGCAGAGCTTTCTCAGCACTGGGCACTTTGCTTCTGGCATCCTTAAAATAAAGAGCAATGCTGTTGTTGACACACACGTGTAGGATGATTACCTTAGTGGTGTGTCTGGAGACATTTTGGAGTCTGGATTTGGGGGTCCCTGCCAAAGGAAGTGGGATGGGACAGCACAGATTCCCTTTGGGAAGGAGAGTCCTGTCATCCACACTGACTCCCAGGGGGTCCCTCACAAAGCCCACAGGGGTGCTGGAGAAAGCACCTGGGGTGCACATGCTGCTGGCCCAGCCTCTAATGCAGTTATACTGGTGGCTGAGTGAGCCTAGGAAACATTTCCACACTACTGAGAGGAGATAAGACTGGGACACGGTGGGAGTCAGGAGAGAGCCAAGAAGCCTGGTGGCCTGTTCCTGAGTGGGAGGGGAGCCACTGGGGCACCTGACATGAGGAGTGGGGGTTCAAGGGCTAAGTACCTCAGTACCAAGATCTGCTGATGTTGGGGAAACATAAGGGAGCCCAGGCAAGTGTCCATGTGATGCCAGTCACCTGCTAACTCCTTTAAGGAGTTGGTCCCTCAAGAACCAGAGAGGGCTCGCAGTGTAGTCCTCGGGAAGCAAGAAACTACTTAGGATGCACAGGCTCAGGCCCCATCCCAGATCTACAAATGAGAATCAGTACTTTAGCCAGACCTAGGGGAATATGTGTGTATGCGTGCGTGTGTGCATGCGTGTGTGCGTGCGTGTGTGTGTGTGTGTGTGTGTGTGTGTGTGTGTATGTGCGGGTGAGCAGCCCTGGTCTAGGCAGCTGGGGTCTTCGCCACAGTGTGCATATTCCTTTCTCCTAGCCTGGGGTCAAAACTGTCCTGAGTTGCCGAGGCCTTTCTGTGCCTCCCCACTGGAGCAGCTGCTGCCCAAACTGAACAGGCAGGAGAGACGAAACCAGGGAAGGAACATGGAAGCTGGAGAACAATCTGGAGGCAGGCCAGCCTTAGCCAGGCAGCCCCTTCCCGCTCCTAGGTGCCTTCCTTGGTTCTGAGCAGAAGGAGACACAGCTCTGTCTCCTATCAGCCCTGGGCACTGGCTTCCCACCCAGCAGAGCCCCCATCTCTCAGGCAGGCCGGGATGCTTGCTGGCCACATCTGCCTTTCCGCAGCACCAAGTCTCCATTGTCCACACCTCATGAAATACATGGCAAGAGACTAAAACCTGCCACCTCACTCTGTCTCCATGTTGGACAAGCACAATACTCCATGTTCTGTAAGCTCAAAGAATGCAGGCCCTGGCTGTTCCTGTGAGGTGTGTTGTCCAGGTACTGGTAGAACTTACTCATGCATGACTTGGAGCAACTCTTGCTATAAAAAGGACACACACACACACACACACACACACACAATGGTTAACATAAAATGAATTTTATGTAAATATTTCCATCAAGGAATTATACAGTGGAGGCTCAAGTGGCCCTGTCCCTAAAAACAGGAAGAATGTTTTCAGTACAGAAACATAAATGCTATTCCAGGGCAGCTAATCAGAGTCCATCAATGTCACCTCCTGGTCATCTCTCAAAGTGGGCATTTCTGGTGTCTTCATCTGCACTAGGCCAGGGAATGGAAGCTGAAGGCAGATCCTGCGAGACCAGGACTCTGCTTGTCAGTCAAGTGGTGGAGCCCACAGGCTACTCTGTGGGGCTGGCTGTGGTCACTTTAATCCCTCTCTGAAGTCCCATGACCGTGGCTCCAGAGCTGCCTCCATCCCCAGCATGCTCAGCGCCAGCAGCTTCATCTTCCCTGTAGGTTCCCAGAGCTGGATGTCACCTGTGGCCGCTCTTCCAGGTCCTTGTTCACCTCTGAGGGAAGGATGGCACCAAAGCTCTTCCTGACAGCTCTTCTGGCTCTTAAGAGAAACAGAGGCTAGGAGTCAGCTCTGAGGTCCTCAGGCCGTGCCTGGGTTACACCACTAAGGACCTGAGCCCCAGGTGAGAAAGCTGTTTTCCTGTCAAGGATCTCTGCAGCTCCCTGGTGACCTGGAGAAGAAAGGATCTGGTTGGCCACACCCACCCAGGCATTGGGGTCCTCCCTCCTCTAGGAGAGGCACCCTCAGCCTCTGGCTGTGGCCAACTGCATTACCCATGGGGCATTTCCTAGCTCTTCCCCTCCCTTCTCATTGTTGTAAATGAATGTGTGAAAAATTGTTGTTTGACCATATCTGTGTCCATTCCCGGGCACTCAGCACTGCTGTTCCGTCTCCAGCAAGCATCCCCACATCCTTTCCCATCTTCCACCAAGAGGAGCTGGGTCCACTCAACACGTTCCTCTTTCCCTCTCTCCTGGGAAATGCCATATTTTTTCTGCTAACTTTTTGAATTATAGGTTTTGTAATTTCCTTTTTTTTTTTTTTTTTTTTTTTTGCAGTACCGGGGATTGAACCCAAAGCCTTATGCTTGCCAGGCAAGCACTTATTCTACTGAGCTATCTCCCTGGCCCCCAAATTCATAGGTTTTGAATAATTATTTTTTTAACATTTAAAAAAATCTTTTATTTATTTGGCACAGGGTCTCTCTATGTAGCTTGGACTCAGTGATCCTCCTATCTCAGCCTCCCTAGCACTGGGATTACAGGTGTGCACCACCGTTCTCAGTTTTGATAGCTGGCATGGAGGGACCAGGGGGTCTGGGGCCAGCATAACATGCATCACTGGGGATTAAATCTGGGTCCTTGCACTTGCCAGGCAGGCACTTAGACTGCTGAGCTATCTTCTCAGCCAATTGAAGGATTATTTTTAATGACATGGTCATTGTGTGTATTTTCTAGTTATCTTCTTGGCAAAAGAAATGACACTGATTTTCAACTAACAGTGATTCACAATGCCTTTCTAGAGACTGTCACCTGTCTGCCACTGCTGTGAAGCTAGGAGAACCAAGGAGCCTGGTTCCAGGCAATCACATTGTCATGGGAAACAACCTTCTGCTATGCACATATGTGCTGGAGTTCAGCAGGCCAGGGTCCTGATCACGAGTTCAGTTTTACAGCATTGTTACCGTGGGCTGGGTTTCTCAGGGTGTGACCCATTGTAGATGAAGGCCACCTGTGCTCTTCACCACGTGGTGAATGGCTGTGGCCATCACTGTACTTCTCCAGCCGTTGTGGTCTCCTGATTTCTTCCTACTTCTTGCCTTCCACTATGGGAATGTGAACACTAGTAGGTCTTGTATGACTAAATGTGGTGGAGCTGGCCCTGCAGGATCCCAGAGGAGGTGGCAAAAAATTTGCGAAATCTACCAGTGCACTCAGATGTACTCCACTGGAACCCAGCCTCTGCACTTTGAGGGCCCAGAGGCAAAGGACACTCACCCTGTTCCAGTCCACTGTCTCGCTGAATTCTGAGCTGACTCCAGCACCCATAGGTGGGTAAGTGAGTAAGGAGCCTGCCGAGGATTTCTACCATGTTCTCTAAACTCAAAAACCAGCAGGATTCCTGCCTCACTGTCTTTTGGACCCTGCTCTGCACAAACACCCTTTCTTATCCTTGTCAGGCACCTTGGCTTTAGGGCTCAGAGAGTTCTTCTGGTGCTGGCACCTGCTGATAGCTGCTTGTTCCTTTTACTGGAAACCAGCTGGTACCTGTGGGAAGTCCCCAAGGGCTCTGGGTGACATCAGTTCCTCTCCCCAGTCAAGCCCTGCTGATAGGCGCCAGGGGAAACCTGAGTAGCCCTCTGTGGCCCAAGTCCTCCTCCTACCATGGGGCCCCCCTCGCCTTCTAACTGAAGTCCTGCCTGCTTTCTTCTCTGAGTCAAGCCTTCTTCCTGCCTCCCCTCCTCCACGTAAGTGTTCCACTCTGGTCAGGTTGGAAGTTCCGCGGCTGGGAGAAAATGATCTTCATATCCATCCCTGTGTGGCAGGCCAGGCCTGGGGTGCAGAAAGCTCAGTGTTGGAGAGCCCTGGAATTGGCCCTGCAAAGCTTGACCTTCCCTTGTTTTCTCCTTTCCTGGTTCTGGTGTGAGAGCCTGTGTGAGCCTTGGCCAGGGGAAGATGGTGAGAAGTCAGTGCAAGGGCAGGAACAGGGATTTATCAAGAGGACAGCACTCACTGTTCATCATGGTGTAGGCTGGCAATTCAACCGCTTGGAGGCTGAGCAGAAGGATCCATTGTCCAAGTCCAGCCTGGGCAATAGGCTACTTAGCAAGGCCTTTTTTCCAAATGAAAACCAGAATGGGCTGGGATGTGGATTGGAGCAGAAGCTTTCTGGCTGTCTAAGATGCTTGGCCTGAGCATGGTCACACTGCTTCATCACAATCCTTGGTTGTGAAAGAAGGTGACACTTCAGGGGCCAGACCAGCTTGAAGATGCTTCCAGTGCTTCACTCAACAGCCTCTGCCCAGAGGTTGATGATGTCCCCATGCTTACTGGCTTTCTGCCACACATATTGTAGGGTTGATATTTTTGCCCTACAATATGGCTTTTCCAAATTTTTGAAATATCCTCTAATTGATTTATAGTTGGGCCTTTCAACAGCCATTCTGTTGAAATGAAGGTTGTTTTTAAGATGAATGAGGGGCACAGAACTGCAGTGTGTTGTTTTAATTTCTTTTTGTAGTGCCTGATATTGAACCAAGAGCTTCACAAATTGTTGTTGGGACAGCTTACAAGTAAATTCATATAAGTAAAAAAATTGAAAAGTTCAACTGAGGCATAAGTATTGAAAAATGATTAAGTATATTACAAAATATGAACTAAGTTGGTTTGACTTGAGAAAATGGCATGTATCTTAAATACTACATTGAGAAAGTTTTGACTTTATTCCAGTTAGTTTCTGATATGTGAGAAGGCAAAATAGACTTCATCAAAATTAAAAACTTCAGGCTCGTTCTCTAGCTGAGTTTAGAGCACTTAGCTATCATGTGAGAGGCGCTTGGTTTGATCCCTCGCACTGCAGAGCAAAACCGTCACCAACACCAAGCTTCTGTTGATCAGCCTGCTAAATAACTACAACTGGAAAGGCAAGCAACATGGAATGTTGGCCAGAACCTGCTACAACTGGAACTTCGTGCATTACTTGTGAGAATGAAAAATTTTAAGCAACTTTAGAAATTGTCCTCATAAACTATGATCTTCCTAAAAAGTCTTCTCGTCACTATTTCTCAAAAGTCAATAAAATCGTGTGTCTCTACAAAGTATGTTGGAAAGGTTATCAGCAGCTGCAGACATAACAGCCCCAAATGACAGTTACCTCATTATTCATCAAAAAAGCCAACGAGAAAGTGCATCATAGTGTAGCCAGGCAAGAGCATCTATTCAGTACAAGAGAACAAATTACCCATAAACACAACATAGGCAAATCTCAAAACTCTTCTGCCTTGGAAAGAAGATAAATACAAAAGGACATCCAATGAATATATCCATTTACTCGAAGCTCTAAGACAGGAAAATTAATCTTAGATGCTCAACATTCACTTCACATTTCACTGACATTCTCTGTCAATGGTTGTGTTTCCCCACTAAATTTATTTTAAACTTTATTTCTATTACACATGTAATGTAAATTAGTGAAAATAAAAGTTGCAAACTGTTATGGTTTGCATCTAGTTGCTCCCCCAAAGCCTCATGCAGTCATGGAACAGAGACTTGTACAGTTTAAGATTAACTCATCCACTGGGATTATGGGTGATCCAAGGCTGGAATTATGGGTATTAATACTGCTGGGATTATGGGTGTGAGTGTTACACCCAGTCTGAGGCAGAGACCCTAAATTCAATATAAGAGAGACAAAGAGAGAGACTCCCTCTCTGTTGCCACTGTTGCTGTTCCGCTGCCGTGAACTGCTGCCCTCTGCCATGTGCCGCTCTGCCTTGGAGGCAGCCGAGTGTGGACTAAAGCCTCCAGGAACTGTGAGCTAAATAAACCTTTCCTTCCTTCATTTTCGGTGTTGGGTATTTGTCCCAGCAACAAGAGAAGAGTAGCTGAGACACAAACCTAGGAAAGCTGTGTGCTGTGGTGCATGGCTGAGGTGCTAGCACTCCAGGAGGCTGAAGCAAAAGGATCACAAGTTTACCTCAGCC